TCCGCTAGCCGTAGAGCGATAAAGCCCGCTCGGGCGTTGCAGCAGAGTTTGTTCGGATCCCTGCAGACCGTCTCACCCTCCTCAACGTTGTAAGGTATTTCTCACCATATTCATGTTCAATACGTACATTCATTCTAGTACTTCGTTTCAATTTCCATACCTTACTATCTTCTGATATCTAAACAAATATCATTTAATAATGTTAGGTACACCCTTTAATCTAGCTCCTATAACTCCTACCGACCCCCAAGTGACCGGTCTGTCATTATGACTTTCATTATACCCACACCCCTAAATTAGTGATCGGCTGTCGATAGCCCTCTCGTCCATCGTGGTCTACGTTGTCCACGTCATCAGACTCCTTAAGATATCTACTGGTGGCCCGATCACACATGGAATTGTCCGACCTTCCTTGCGCTCTATTTGATACCATCGGTTTGGGGGCTTCGCTATCGATTGCTTTGGGTCATGAGCTAGGACTGTAAAACATAGTATCACGAATCGTCAATATTGCGATGTACCTGATAGGCACATTTCGTAGTGATCACGCGTCGGCTAGTGACATAGGCCACTACGTGAAGTTGGCCACTGTTGTATTGCAAGCTTTGCCATTACTGCTAAACGTATCTACGTTTAGCACACTTGATCGTTAGCACATACGGAACGTCTACCGTTCGTCCTGGGTCTACGTCTATTGTGACTTCTCCTGAAATAAGTTCCTAGTGCTGTATTGTCTTGTGAGTACTCATCGAGCAGTTCCCATTTGCTAAGGTAGTGATTTGTTACTGTCTAAGTCCTTTTCGTCCTTTGAATCCATGTGTGTCCTCATCAGTTCCACTTATGTCCTCTAGGTAATTTCTGTCTTTTTGTGTCCGTTGATGACTTTGTGGTGTAGGTCCTTCGATTGTCAATCCTGTCCCTGGTCCGTATCGTCTTGTAGTTTGGGGTTAATGGGCGGGTGCTGAGGATATAAGGTGTGTAGGCTGAACCTTCGCCTTTAGCTAGCTCTGTGCCATACCTAATTCCTGCGTTCACTTTCCTGTGCCTCCTTAGCTCCTCCACACTCAAACCTCGTTCTCCCCTGTCCCGACAGTGCTTTGCATCCTTTGTGCTGCTCGTCTGTAATGCTCTTTCACATTATCAGGTCTTTGGCAAGAGTGTGCCTTTGCAGTGCAACGGTCGCCAGTCCCGGCTGAGGTGTCAGTGGGATACGGTGCCTTTTGCTTGTGTACCTGGCATCCTTCGAAGATGCCGTCCCTAGTTAACTGGACGTAACGCCTGTAGCCTGCGACTGTCAGTCCGTTAATGCCGTCCCGCAGGGTTTGTGGAAGGACCCTTCTGCCACTAACCTTGTTGTTACGGCGGAAGACAACCTTGTGCTACTTTTTACTGTGAAGTTCAGTAAGCGGACATTCGCAAAACTACAGTAAAAATTACGCCCACTTGCTAACGACAGGCTGTAGAACGTCACTACCTATGTTCGCTACTATCAAACGATCAGATTCGTGCTTCTAATGAAGTCTTACACATGTGTAGATACGATTGTCCCAACGATACCTGCGGACTGTATGTCGATGGGAGAGTCGACTTTAGCATACGCGCTCTACAGTTTCAACGAGTAAATATATATCAAATATCTTTTGTACTGTTTTAACAATACAAGTATGGGAGACTATCAGGATCCGCTTGTCAATCTGTTGTAGTATCCATATCCGTAAATGTTAAGAGAATACACTTACAACTCTACTCGTTACGACTTATGTCTTAATACGCGTTGCCACAAAACGCCGTGCTTTCATGTTAACACTGCAGTAGATACGGCTGCTACAAATTTCGGGTAAACTTACAGCACGTCGTCCTGATTTCTTGTGTTCATTTTTATAACCCTAACCCCATTTCGTATATTACTCCAATACTTAAAAATGACTTGTCCTTTTATGGTCATTCTCATCCACGTCTTTAGTTTCACAAATACGACACCTTTTACCATGGGCGTTCCCTATCCACACATCAGGCAACGACAAGTTATATCTACTTATGTACTGTAAAAAATTTAGTTCAATTAGTTCATAGCCCTTTGTAAGACTAGACATACGTCTACTACCCCGAACACCCGTTTCCCGGTCGGGACGTTACATCGTGTCCAACTCTTTCTTATTATGTTCGACGTTATCACTTCTCCTCTTTACCTGTGTATTTTCCCCTAAGTGTTGCAGTCATCGAATTCTGCGTCGCCGAGTAAACAAATGTTTGTGGCCGTATTGTAACGAGATCGATATGCAATTTTACCATACTCCGTTCGAAGACTTGTCACATATGATATTCTCAAAGAACCACAAACAAATCTGTCTTTCGTATTTACCTCGTTAGTATATCCTTGTCAAGTTTTATTTACATTTTTTCAGTTTGGTACAGCCACAACGCCCTAGTTCTTCATTGTCCAAGTAGTGAAG